CTTGATGATCTTAGAGGTCTCCAATCTTGATGGTTCTATGTATCTGTGATTCCTGAAAACGAAAAAGGGGAGAGAGAAGAGGGTGTTCTCCATGCCCCTTCTGAACTGGAATGCTTTGCTTTCAGGCAGTGAAGTGCTCACTCTTGTCCCTCCAAGCTCTGTTCTATGAGTGTGTGTGAACTGCAATTCATCTTGGCCAACTTTCCTTTGGGAATGTTCTCCCACCCAGCTGCATTCTGGAGTAATCCAGAGTGCTTTGGAGCTGATCAATCCCCATGACATCCGCACTATGTGCAGCTCAAAGGATTTGCTAATCAACTGCTGTGGGCAGGAGGGAGGAATTAGGCTGTGGGTTGGATCATCTGTGATTTGGCTGTTGATGCAGATTGGATACAAATGCTCTCAATTACCTCCTTGTTTTATCAGCTAATTAACTCAACCAGGGGTTTGCTTGCCGTCAGCACTGGTGGTTGCGCAGCAAAGGGCTGGAGAGCTCTGGGGTCAGAGCTTGGACTCCATAGCATCACCACGGTACATCGGGGTTAGCCAAACACTGGGATTGACTCATTGGACTCCATAGCATCACCACGGTACGTGGGGGTTAGCCAAACACTGGGATTGACTAAAGGGTGGGAGGAGAATGAGCAGGGAAATCCCATCTTTGCTCTGAGTTTAACCTGCTGTTGAGTGAGTTTCACCTCTGCTTCACTGTGTGCTGCTGTTCTGGGGTGTTGGCTGAGTGCTGAGCTGCCTCTGAGTTTGGTCTCTGAGTTGTGTCACTGAATTTCTGGAGAAATGAGGTTTTCCTGGTTTATTTTCTCTATGGAGAGTAGGAGGAGCTGATCAAGCTTTGAGAGGTGTGGCAGATGTGACACTGACATGGAGCAAAGTTCCTTTTCTTGGAGCAGGAACATCTGCTGCCAGAGCTGTGACATGGCAGGATCTGAGTCTGAGCTTCCTGGGAATGTTGTCTTGGGAGAACCACAAGGACCACAACTTGGCTCTGACCCAAGGGAGGTTGGGAAAACCAATTGCTGAAAATTGCTGTTCTTCTTAATGGAAAGATCCTAGATCCATTTCTTGTATAGCATTCCACAGTCATTTCACCTTTCATGCCTTTACCCCACCCCCCCCCATGTAATATTCCATGAGGATAATACCTACCTTCCCCCTACAAAGATGCTTGTTAGTGATATTGAAGGTTGAGATTTGCTTATCCTATCGGGTTTAAGTTTCTAACCAAGTTTGTGCTAGTTCCAGCCCTAGCTGATGCTGTGCTGCAGCTGTGGGTGATGTTCTGGGTGGATCACACCATGCATCTGTGCATACTCACACTGAATTTACCACTGTTGAGACATTATTCAGTATCCCAAGGAATCTATTTCTACACAAGAAGCTGTGTCTGGGCCTGGCTGTGAAAGCAACAAATGGTTGTGGGTGATGTTTAATAATGAAATTTATATTAGATATGAGGAAGAAGCTTTCCCTGTGAGGGTGGTGAGACACTGTCCCAGGTTGCCCAGGGAGGCTGTGGCTGCCCCAACCCTGGCAGTGTTCAAGGCCAGGTTGGATGAGCCTTGAGCAACCTGCTCTGGTGGGAGGTGTCCCTGCCCAGGGCAGGGGTTGGGGCTGGATGATCTCTAAGCTCCATTCCAACCCCTTAACAATCTATGATACTATGTTGACTTCTTGGAGCACCCTAAGAACTTATCCACAAGTTATTTCTGCCCTAATCCTTAGACTTAAATGCATTTCTTATATAAGAGCTATTTTTGAAGCAAGACACAAGTGGCAGAAGGCAAATTCAGTTTATTTGAGTAAGAACTCATGTCTTGTGCCACCATTTCTCCAGGAACGAGAGGGAACCTGTGGAAGATGAGCACTATCCTGAAGGCAAATCAAGGCTTTTAAAGGCAGATGATGGTTCTGAGTCCAAATAGGTACTAGGAAAAACTGAAGTCAAAAAAACCTTCAGGTCCTGCTCTCAAATCTCTTGATTTGAGTTTTAGTAGTCAGCTGCAGGAAGGCAAATCATGTGCACAAAGTCTTCATACTTTATTGTTCCATTTGGCCCAATTTTGGCTCCTTTTAGCAGGTCATCAACTGCAAAAAGAGAAGACAAACAGAAGTGTGAGGGACACATATTAGGGCTGTGACCCTCAAAGGAGGAGCAGCAATGCAGGATTGGAGGTGTCTGGCAACAATGCCCTCTGGGATGAGGTGGAGGTGCCACATGATAGCTTCAAACTAGCATTGTTAACCCTTTTGATGTCCATCTCTGAGTTTTCCTATCAAAAGCCTCACAAACTGAGTCCAAATCAGCTTTTTGGTGGGTGGTTGATTTAGCTTCAATAGCAGACCTGTCCCACTTCAATTTAGCCCAACCTAAGTGCTCATGAAGACTTTTTCATACCCATTTTTAAGCTGATATGTGTTGTGCTGGTGTTGTGGTTTAATCCCAGCAGCAGCCAAGAACCAGCAGCCTCTCACTCACTCCCCCACCCATGGGATGGGGGAGAGAATCAGAAGGGTAAAAGCTACAAAAACTCATGGGTTGAGATAAAGACAGTTTAATAGAGGAAGCCAAAGTTGCACACACAAGCAAAGCAAAACAAGGAATTAATTCACTGCTTCCCACAGACAGGAGGTGTTTAGCCATCTCCAGGAGAGCAGGGCCCATCACGTGTAATGGTTCTTTGGGAAGACAAATGCCATCACTCCAGATGTCCCCCCTTCCTCCTTCTTCCTCCCACCTTATATACTGAGCATGATGTCCTATGGTATGGAATATCCCTTTGGTCAGTTTGGGTCACCTGTCCCAGCTGTGTCTCCTCCCAGTCTCCCATGCATCCCCAACTCCCTCACCAGTGTGGCAGTACGGAAAGCAGCAAAGGCCTTGGCTCTGTGTGAGCTCTGCTCAGCAATAACAAAAACATCTCTGCATTATCAACTCTGTGTTCTGCACAAAACCCAAACATAGCCCCAAACTAGACTCTATGAAGAAAGTTAACTCTCCTTCAGCCCAAACCAGCACAGCTGGTTAATATCAATAGGCTTTTAGTGTTTGGAAGTGAAGAACACTTGAGTCTGCTGGGAAACACTTGAGGAGAAGTTGTCACCTGGCAGCAGTGACTTTTGCTTCCAGCTTTGGGCATGTCTCCCTTGGCAGTGACAGCACTTAGCTCCCTTAAAATGCTCTCCCTGTACAGCCTAAACCACTCACAGGTATTTTCCTGTCAAATAATGCCAATGAAACACAAGTACCTTAGGAATGACACAGAGAAATGTCATGTTGAATGCTCTGGATGAAGCTGGGAATTAGATGCATCTTCTTTTGGATAAGCAGAGATGAATTCCCTTGGCTTGTTTACTTCCCCTCTGAGTGGGTGTGAGCTAAAACAACTATCAGAGCATCCCAGCAGCTTTTATTTGCTGCTGCCTGGGCACAGTTCCCTAGGATTGGGTATCTGGTGCAGCCCAGAGGAGGTTTGTGCTCACACTGATATCGAGGGGTGTCCAGTTTAATGACTGTGTCCCTATTTCCAGTGCATGAACAGGATCAGGGAGGGATGGAACAGCAGCTGTTGGGTTGTGCACCTGAATCATCACTTGCTGTTTCATGAGCAGGACACATTCTGGGTGTTTGGAGCCTCAGACAGAGATCACCCATGGGGATGTGCTGAGTGTGAGTCCTCCACAGTCTCATTCCTATTTGGGCTGGAATCCCCTGGCCAGGGCAGAGCTCCAATGCTTTCCCAGTCCCACATAAGTGCAGACAGGTCAGTGGAGTAATTTTGCCTGGAGAATTACATGTCTGAGGCTACCAGAACTTTTCTCCAGGCTGAACAACCTGTGGCTGTTCAAATCTGCCCCTGAATCCTCCTTCTGGAGCACAGTCACTTGGCACTTGCCAGGTGTGAAATCCAGGGGAAAATCATGGGAAATAGCAAAGATTTAAAGGGGGAAAAGCTGTTTTACTGCATAGAGTTGTGGAAGGTCTCTGAGAGCAGCATCACCTGTCTGTGCTGCTGATGGGTGAGACACTGGTTTGTGTGTCAGTGTATGCAGGGGGTAAGCACAGCTCCCTGGAAGCTGTTCCCAGCAGGATTGGGTTGCAGTGGGGGTAAATGAGGAGCTGTTGTTCCTGTAAGGTGAGTAACAACTCTGTTTCCAAGAGATCTAATCCTCCTTTCACAACAAATGCTCATCAAACCCTACTAAGGACAGAAATTCCTCAAAGAATTAATTCTTCCTGGAACATTTGACAGTAACAGAGAAGAGAAGTATCTCAGTTCTCATTTGCTAAAAGGACATTAATTAAAAGGAATTGAGGCTTTTCTGGAGGCAAGAGTTACTGAGCTGATGCTGATGAAACTGAGTCTGTTGTGCTATCAAATATTTATAGCAGCTCAGGGTGGCAAGGCAAGGAGGAACAGCATCACTTCTGCATTAGGCTCTGACCTGATGGCAACACTGTCGCTGTGTCCTGTTGGATTGTTCATCTCTCACAAAGACTCTCAGAGTGTTTGCAGATTATTATCCCAGTTAAAAAAATTGAAAAAAAACCCTAGGAAGAAATTCCTTGTTGGTGTGAACTTGCTGATGGTGACTGCACTGACCAACCTTGCTCTACTTCACTCTAAATTCTACTTGAACATTAGGACATTTCCTCCACCCTCAGAGAGCCTCATGGGGTCTGTACACACCACGTAGCCCTGGTAGAACTCACTTCTTACTGATATCAAAGTGTGGGAATACCTTGAAAAGATTAAATACATATAAAACAGGGCAAAAATCAGCTAAAAGAATCATAGAATCCCAGAATGGTTTGGGTTGGAAGGACCTTAAGGATGATCCCATCCCACCTCATTCCCTGCCATGGGCAGGGACACCTTCCACCAGCCCAGATTTCTCCAAGTTCCATCCAACCTGACCAGGAACACTCCCAGGGATGGAGCAGCCACAAAGCAAAGGAAGTTAAAAGGAAGGTCTTGATCATTTTCCCCTTCCTGGAAATTCCCTCTGAGTCCCTTGGAGGCAAATTTCAGTTGCACTGGACAGGTTTGTGGTTGGATTTGCTGTTTTTCCTGCTGGCCCAGCTCCTCCCTCATCCCAGACTGGACTCCAGAGGAAAATCAGGAAGGAAAGATGATGGGGAGTGTTTAATCCATCTTGGAATTGCAAAATACCTTCTTCATCAGAAAGCTTCTCCCCCAGCCTGGTGAGCTTCGCCCTGAGCTCCGAAACAGTGATGACTCCTCTCTTCTGCCTGTCGATCATGGCCAGGGCCCTGAGGATCTCCTGCTCGGGCTCCTCCTGCTTCATCTGCCTGTACATTATGTTCAGGAATGTGGAGAAATCCAACTCTGCATTTCTCTCTGGAAAAACAAGAGGAGATTCTTTAGGAATGGCTCAGTCCTGTGGCTGGATCTAGACTTAAGCATCTTCCTCCTCTCCCCTCAGTTCCCCTTCCTGGGGTTCCTTTTGCCTGCCCCTGGTCTGGCTCAGGGCACATCACTCCTGGCCTGAAAATACACTTAGAGCTTTGCTAAACTTGTGCTCTGAATTTATATTCAGATTTTTTTCATCCGTCTCACTTTATCTCCTCATTTTCCTTTGGTCTTGGTGCTGTGCTTTGAGTTCAGTTCTACAGATCTGCAGATAAATATCCTTCTCTGCTCTTCTACCTCTGTTGGTTGCACTGGACAGTTTCATAGAGTCATAGATTGTTAAGGGGCTGGAATGGATCTTAGTGATTACCCAGCCCCAACCCCTGCCCTGGGCAGGGACACCTCCCACCAGAGCAGGTTGTTCAAGGCTCATCCAACCTGGCTGTGAACACTGCCAGGGCTGGGGCAGCCACAGCCTCCCTGGGCAACCTGTGCCAATGTCTCACCACTCTCACAGGAAAAAAACCTTTTCCTCATCTATTTCCCAGCCTCCAAATCCATAATCCATATGTATTTCCTCCTCTTTTCTGGGTTTTTAATCTGGTTCAATCTCTGGTCTGGATTGTGCTCACCATTTAGCACATCCCACTGGGTTTTGGTGCCTGCTCTTGGTTTTGTTGTTTCACCAGAACATAGTATTACCTCCTGAGCTCCAGCAGCCTCTGTGTCTTTACCTGTAGGCTCCTAACTCCAGCAAACCCAAATTTTCCCAACCTTAATCCCATGTGTTTTATTCCTGTGCTGCCTCTCCCCTTTTCTTACCAATCTTGTGCAGGTGCAGGTGCCTCTGCACCTCTCCTGGCGTGGGGCTGACTCCCAGGCACCTCATCACTGCCAGCAGGTCAGAGCCTTTGATCTTGCCTTTTTGTTTCTTGTCATACAGGGAAAAACATTCCTTGAACTCTAATTAAAAACCAAAACTCTTGTTATGCCATGTGAG